TTGGGGAGGGGGCATTATGATACTATTTTCACTTCTATGAGAGCCAGGCCCCCCTGGACTCCCCCTTCGTTTGTCTATGGCAAGGGAGTTGAAGCATGAGCCATTGAAGTCGAGGATGCCCAGACTGGAGACCCTTAGCATCTGACGACGGAAGAAAATGAAACGCAGTTACTAAAAATATCCCTCTGTACTGAAAATCTTGAAAATAGATAGAAATTTTCCAGGAAGTATACTTCTTTGAAAATTTAAGAAGAATTCTACAGTGCCCAGTGTGTTTCTGAAAATCTATTCACCCTTTGCGAAATTTTTGGGGTATTTTTCACTTTTTCTTACGAAACAAGGAAGGGTTGCATGTGAATTCGTAGTGGTTTTTCACGGGTGACATGGGCCCCCTCCGGGCCCGGGCCCCGATACCAGGGACCCAGTATCCCACCCTTGTGGCTGGCCTGCCTTAATGCACGCTGGGTTTGTCGATTTCCTCTGAAATTTTTGCAGTGGTGAATGCATAGCTGAAGTGCGCTCTAGGTAGAATCGTATTTACAAATGAGTGGTTTTTCTACGAGGATTAAAAATGAACGAGTGGTACGGAATATAACAAAAGAATATGAACTATGCAAAACGATAATCCGGGTATCGGAACTTGGCTGTTTTGAAAACGCCTTCAAATGCGGCGTGATACCTCACGCATTCCGGAGAGTTCAAATAAGCGTATCATTGCGCCGTAAGAATGTGACGGAAGATTTAAATGGAAATAGCCTCCGTGCACGCTGGGCGTGTCGATTTCCTTTGACATTTTTGCAGTGGTGAATGTATAGCTGAAGTGCACTCCAGCTAGAATTGTATTTACAAATGGGTGGTTTTTCTACGAGGATTAAAAATAAACGAGTGGTACGGAATACAACAAAAGAATATGAACTATGCAAAACGATAATCCGGGTATCGGAACTTGGCTGATATGAAAACGCCTTCAAATGCGGCGTGATACCTCACGCATTCCGGAGAGTTCAAATAGTTGTATCATTGCGCCGTAAGAATGTGACGGAAGATTTAAATGGAAATAGCCTTCATGCAGGCTCGCCACATCCCATCTCGGGCCCTGGTACCAGTTTTAAAGTCTGGGTCCCGAGCACGGAGGGGGGGGGGTCCGAGGGGCATCCCCCGAGGAATTTTAGAATTTATATGACTAATCGGACGCATTTTGGAGCTTCCATGAGGAATTTTTCCATCAATTTCTGCGCAATGATTATGTTATTTTTCCACTTTCACCACAAAATACTTGCGAATTGTTGCATTCAAAACATCTGGAAAATTTTTATTTATTTATTTTTTTTTGGGGGGGGGGCATATGATACTATTTTCAGTTCTAAGAGGGCCAGGCCCCCCTGGACTCCCTCTTCGTTTGTCTATGGCAAGGGAGTTGAGCCATGAGCCATTGAAGTCGAGGATGCCCAGACTGGAGACTCTTAGCATCTGACGTCGGAAGAAAATGAAACGCAGTTACTAAAAATATCCCTCTGTTCTGAAAATCTTGAAAATAGATAGACATTTTCCAGGAAGTACACTCCTTTGAAAACTTAAGAGGAATTCTACAGTGCCCCAGCGTGTTTCTGAAAATCTATTCACCTTTTGCGAAATTTTTTAGGGTAAATTTTTCACTTTTTCTTACGAAACAAGGGTTGCATGTGAATTCGTAGTGGTTTTTCACGGGTAACACGGGCCCCCTCCGGGACCCGGGCCCCGGTACCAGGGACCCAGTATCCCCTCTCTTGTGGCGGGCCTGGTTGCAAGGGATAAAGGAGGTAGGTAACATGGCCGGATTTACCTACTTGCCGCCCATGGGCCGCCTGTATTTTGCCGCCCTCTTTCTCATTCATTTTGAAACATCAATGTAAAAACCATCAAGTGAACGTGCCGGAGACAGAAGGGTGTAAAAGACGCGTTCATTCGTGTTGGACACATCTTTGCGTAATTACGCAAAGCGTCTCATCTTTGCGCGTTGACAGGGCTTAAGCCCTACCGGCAAAAGTTCACAGAACTTCGCGCAAAAGTTTAGTTTTGTAAACCTATCTCTGTGTGGACAAAGCCTTTCATTTGTAAGAAATGAACTAAAAAATTAAGAAAGAACAAACATAAATGTGGTTTAATAATTTTAACTTCCGCCGCCGTGCCGCGCTGACCACACTGTGTTTTGCGCAATGCGTGAAGTATTCATGTAGTCTTGTAGGCACTGTGCGTTTTACGCTGCGCCGACCGCTTTTGACCGTACCGTGTTTGACGCAATGCGTGAAGTATTCATGCACTCTTGTAGGCGCTAATATGTGTTACATGCCGACCGCCGCGCCGAGGGCTTCTCTTTTTCATCTCAAGTCCGCGTCATCATTTCTCTCTGCGTTGCGCCGCTTCAGGCCAAATTACGTGTTTGGTTTCTCTCTTAACTTAACTAATTAAAGGTGCGCAGTCTTATTTTGTATCACCGAAATACGACAAAATTAGAACTTAATGAACTCTCAGGAAATGAGAGATTTTGTCACCTTTTCTTGTTTGTAATTTTATTCTGAATCCGATTTTTTGTACCTACATTTAAAAAAACTGCAAAATTTGCCGCCCCCTACTTTTGCCGCCATGGGCCGCGGCCCATGTGGCCACCCCCTTAATCCGGCCCTGGTAGGTAATAGATTAACTAACGGCAACTCACGAGTGACCCTATAGTTAGTCCATCATTTACCCCTCAGTCTATAAGAACCGCCCATTTCAACCAATAGGATCGCTGAATACTCCCTATATCTTATAAGTCTATCGCTTTCTCTATCAATTTTAACAATCAGCCTGCAGGATAGATATATGCATGAATCTCACGGATTGGCGAAGGAATAGGCGTAAATGCTTTATACTCGTGAAGCATAGGATCAATAAGACGAGCCCTTTTTTTGACAAAACCGAGACACTCGCAGTACTGCCGTGATAGCGAAAGGAGCAGTAAGTGCAAGAATGAAGTTTTGAAAAAACGGGCTTAGAAGTATCTGACGGGAAAATTTTAGTGATAGAAGCCCTCGATCTCAGTCAAATTGGCTCTAATCATCCGAAACACCCCTGGAAATCGTTCGGATGATTAAAAATCTACTGATTTTATTTCAATTACATAAAAAGGGTATTATTCATTTTCAGCCGCAAGTGCAATCCACTGCATGCTTTCGTGATTGCATTTTGGACACACAACTAACACATTCTCAGGTTAGAAATCGGCCGAAGAGGGCGGCATCTCACTTGAAAGCACTGTTTTCATTGGCTCTTTGGAGGAATATTGTCAAGTACTGCTGTCTTGCTGTAAACTACGTCATGTTTTGCGCACTGATGGCTTTCTTATAGGTTTCGTTTTCATGAAAATAAGATGAATTTTGCTGTTTTAGCTATTTCAGTGAATTCATCTAAAAGAGATTAGACGAGTTTTGAAGGAAACTCGATTCAGAAAATTTGACCCATACTGCTCTCCATGCTAGCACGTCAGAGTACTGAATAGTGATTCTTGACTTCTTGAGCCGTATGCGCCGAAAAGACACTAGTAAACTGACTAAAATACAATTTTTGCGGTTAAGTTGGACTTATGTCCACGTAATTTTGTAAATGTTTAATTATATCACTAAAACATAGAGACAAATGAATCGATCATTTTACCAGCAACTATGCGGGGCTACGCTACGCTCCCTAGCAGCTGCGGGATCAAACAGTGGCGTGGCGTGAATTGCGATATATCGATTGTTATGCCATTTAAACCTATGGAAAAGGATCGATAAACAGGGTGTTCGCAGCGAACACCTTAATAATCGATTCTTTACCATAGCTTCAAATGGCGAGATATCGACAATCGATTATTCACGCCACGCCACTGGTATCAAACCCCGAAGGGCTTCGCGCCTCGGGTGTCAGACTTTAAGCGTTACTCTTAAGTTTTTATATTATTCTCATCTATTGATAATTGTTTTGACTTGCCTCCTCTTTCATTGACTGTGTCCTACGAAAAACTTTCTCAAGTTACATCATTAAAGTGTGAGGAGTGAGAGACCATCATATGGACTGCATTTTGCAATTTGGAGCTATAAATTCTGACTCATTTGAAAAAACACTTATGTGCATAGGGAAACTAATGGCACATACGTTGTTTTTAAACCGGGCGGAATTTATAGTTCCTAATTGCAAAATGTGGTCCATATAAGCTGGTTGTGACGATAATATGGTACCGTGTTGGCGTCAACATGGTACACTACTTTTCACTCACTAACACAGTAAGAAAAAGCGGGTAACCAAAATTTTGCGTTAATGCGAGAAGTATAAACACGGAGTGACGCAGGATGTCGATTGATTTTGTTTCACAGACCGGTTCGAGTCGATTTCACACAAAATTATGTTGAGCGGCCAAGTTCTTTGGGTTGATCTGACCAAACAAAGGTAGAACACAAAATAACGCAGAGTAACACTAAACGTGGGAATTTTTAACTGTGAACGTGGTAGTTTTAACCAGAGTTACCAGACTTTGGAATGAAATTTGTTTTAAGGCAACAATAAATACACAACAAACAGTTTCTAAGAACGAACTTACGAATGGGGGAACATATTATATACCTAGGATGAGCTGGAACAATGAAAAATAAGTTAAAACTTTGACTAATGTGCATCGGAGTACCAATTTGTTTATGTTGATTAAGGCCAGAAAGGTCATCACCTTTTTCTGCTGAAGTTCTCTGCCAAAAAATATATTCTTTGGCAGAGACCTCTTGCAAATCTGAAAAAAATTCAAGAGCGCTGAAAAAGTATTTTTTGTCCAATTTTCAGCCCTAGTACTTCCCTTCTCGTTTCTGTTTAAATGTGTGTCCTGCATAATCTCAATCACACGGGATGGAGTTTACTCTCTTATGATCACTTATCATACTTTATCTCGTGAAAAATGATGAAATTTCTGATGCGAATCTTGAAAAATTGAATTTTTCATATTTGTCTTTCAGGTGCCAACAAGGTGTATAAAGGACTTTCAAGTTTTGGAAGCGGCTCACAAAAAATGCTGTCTAAAGGTATGTCCAAAGGTAAGGTCCATGGTTATTTGGTTGACTAAATTTTCTTTGAAATTACTAGCATACTTGTCACTGTCTGCGGCGCAAATGCCTCAGCGCTTGAGGGAAAATCGCCTCGAAAGGCTACTTCTGTTAGGTTGCTGATGGAAACATTTTGGAATTGGAACTACAACGAAACACACTCTAATTGCGCAAAGAATAATTTATGAGTGGTCCATTTCATTTTTATGTCGAAATTATTGATGGCGTGAAATTGCATTTTAATATGACCATTTTTGGACTCGAAAATATGGTTTATCATAAATTTAAATTGTTACCTCGTACAAATACATTTTTTAAATCCGTAAACTACGAATCTCAGGACTTTAATTCGATTTTCAAGCTTTTTCTTTTTTATTTTTTTCCATTTGTTAATATAGGTATGTATTTGCAGAACTTTCATTAGCAGCAGCTTCAATTTTGTAATCTTGAATTTTGTCTACGTTCAGGGTCTTTTTTAAAGTCACACGTAGAATAATTATTATTCTACTAATACTGAAGGACCAATTGATTTAGATACATTAAGTACACATTACCTACTAATGAGGACGAACTAAGGCAAAGTAAGGAGTGTTTGTGTACTTAGGAGATAAAATATAGGTTATCCCCAGAGCATTAAAATTGATCAAATAAAGTGTAAGGATTGCAGAATATCGATTAAAATTAGTGGGTATGCAATTTGATCACAAGATGGATGTGTCCTCATATGATTAGAACTCTTTGGATAAAAGATCTCAATCAGAAAATCAAGGCATGCATGAAAAAATAACCAATAATCGCTATGTTTCATATTTGTTTTAAGGTGCTAGCCGAATCGGTTCCTTCAGAGGCAGTTTTAGGGGCACATTAGAAGATGGTAAGGAGAATTTGCATTTTCACTATTTTAATATTTCCAAGATTTAGACATTGAGGCAATCCAGTCCATTAGATTTTAATCCAGGCCAACAATTGGTTAAAATTTTAAAATTGACCAGTTTCACTGATATCAACTAGTAGCTTCGCTGAACCAAGTTTTCAGTTATCGATTAATCAATAGAGAATAATGGACTAAACAGTTGATTGATAGTAAGTTGGAATTTTTTCATTTGCGGATCCAGCAATTTGACAACACCGAATTTCCTCCACCTAAACCTATGGAAATGTATCGATTTTTGGAGGGACCAAGTGCTCCGACATGAATCGATTATTTAGCATATGTTTAAATGGAAGAAATTCGGTGTTGCCAAATTCCTGGATGCGCATCTGAATTTTGTAGCCAACGTGTGTTAAAAGTCAGCATAAAGCTAAAAATCCACTGAAAAAAAAACACATTGGATCTAGAGTCCAGACTCTTGAAAACATTGACAAGAAAAATACTCTTGATTCGATCAGATTTAAGCTTAAATCAAAAGGAAATCTGCTCAAATTAAGAGGCTTGGTTCTGGATCTAAGCAAAAATCCGATTGAATCAAGAGTTTTTTTTCTTGTCGATGTTTTTAAGAGTGTGAACGCTAGATTCAATGTGTTCTTTTTCCAGTGTCTCAACTTAGAGGAAAAAGCTCATATGAGCACAATTTCCTCTCAAAGAGATACGCTGTTTGATGCAACACTGTTAACGATCATTTATAAAGGCAACTGCAGACGCGTTTCGCCTTATTGGGCCAATCCTCAGCGCAGCGCAGCCTCCTGAATCAGTTTGAGTTGATAGATAGTTCAAGAAGATAATCGAAGGATTAATCGAATCGAATGACATTTTTGATCATCAATAATTAATCGCTGATCAAAAAAACTCTATAACGACGCCTACAAACTGACCTGTTGTACTTGTTTTGTTCCAGGCTACATGTCCGGGGATTCACTTCAGTCGAACGATACGAACCGGTCAAACCAAACAGACAGATCGAGCAAATCCAAAAAATCCAGTAAATCCAGAAAATCCAAAAAACCTTCGCGCCAAAACTCCAGCGCCCCTTCTGTTCCTCGCGCGCCTGATTGCCTCGGCCTGGATGTCAGCGGCTATCTCACCGAGGGCCCCCCCGCTCCACGGCCCCTCGTCCAACCCCAACTTCCGGATATTATGCGTACCTGCTCTCTGCCACCCGCGACTGGATATTCATCCCCTATTTACAGCCCTACTCGTCCTCCTCCATCCCCTATTAACAGCCCCATTCGCCCTCCTCCATCCCCCATCAACAGCCCCACTCGCCCACCTCCACCACCTTATGTACCACCTCCACCTCTACAAACTTGGGCCGCTCCTACTCGAGTTCAGCCGAGGGTAGAAACTCCCCTATCTCCACCGCAATCTCCACCGAGGCAGCCTCCGCAAAATACTTCTCCAAGACCGGGATCTCCAAAAAAGAAATCCCCGCCAAGACTGTCCCCGCAGAGATCGGGATCCCCAAGACAAACATCTCCTTCAAGATCGGGATCTCCAAGAAAAAAATCTCCTTCAAGATCGAGATCTCCACTGCTATCTCCGCAAAAAGTGGCATCTCCGAAACCGCGCTCTCCGCTAAAAACGGTTCCTTCGAAACTGCCATCTCCGCCGGGGTCTCCGCCGAAAGTGGTAACTCCACCGAAAGCGGTAACTCCGCCGAAAGCGCCAACTCCGCCGGGATCTCCGAGGCTGGATTTACCGCCGGGATCTCCAATTCAATCTCCGGAGAGACGTCGGAGATCTCCACGGGGATCTCCGCCGGGAACTCGTGCTCCGCTGGCATCTCCCAAAAGAGATCCGACTCGGGCGGCATCTCCCAAAAGAGACCCGACTCAGGCAGTTGATCCGAACGTTCTATCGGCTGCCATCACGAAGGCATCTTCGCCGGGCGCATCCGGGAGGCACGAGGATACCGGAAAGGCCAAAGATCCGTACCAGCGCTTGTATGAAGAGACGCAGCAGGAACTCATAGATCTGTACAGTGAGTATGACTATTTTTCAGAATGTGACCGTCCGCGGGAACCGGAACCTACCTATTCACCTTTTGCGAAATTTTTAGGGTAAATTGTTCACTTTTTCTTACGAAACAAGGGTTGCATGTGAATTCGTAGTAGTTTTTCACGGGTAATACGGGCCCCCTCCGGGGCCCGGGCCCCGGTACCAGGGACCCAGTATCCCCCCCTTGTGGCGGGCCTGCCGTCATGCACGCTGGGCTTGTTGATTTCCTCTGAAATTTTTGCAGTGGTGAATGCATAGCTGAAGTGCGCTTCAGCTAGAATTGTATTTCGCAAATGGGTGGTTTTTCTACGAGGATTAAAAATAAACGAGTGGCACGGAATATAACAAAAGAATATGAACTATGCAAAACGATAATCAGGGTATCGGAGCTTGGCTGTTTTGAAAACGCCTTCAAATGCGGCGTGATACCTCACGCATTCCGGAGAGTTCAAATAGTTGTATCATTGCGCCGTATAAATGTGACGGAAGATTTAAATGGAAATAGCCTTCATGCAGGCTCGCCACATCCCATCTCGGGCCCTGGTACCAGTTTTAAGGTCCGGGCCCCAAGCACGGAGGGGGGGGGGGTCCGAGGGGCATCCCCCGAGAAATTTTAGAAGTTATAGACTAATTGGACGCATTTTGAAGCTTCCATAAAGAATTTTTCCATCAATTTCTGCAGAATAATTATGTTTTTTTCTATACTTTCAGCACAAAATACTTGCGAATTGTTGCATTCAAAACATCTGAAAAATTTTTATTTTTTTTTTGGGGGGGGGGCATATGATACTATTGTCAGTTCTAAGAGGGCAAGGCCCCCCTGGACTTCCCCTTCGTTTATCAATGGCAAGGGAGTTGAGCCATGAGCCATTGAAGACTGGAGACCATTAGCATCTGACGACGGAAGAAAATGAAACGCAGTCACTAAAAATATCTCTCTGTACTGAAAATCTTGAAAATAGATAGAAATTTTCCAAGAAGGATACTTCTTTCAAAATTTAAGTAGAATTCTACAGTGCCCCAGCGTGTTTCTGAAAATCTATTCACCTTTTGCGAAATTTTTAGGGAAAATTTTTCAGTTTTTCTTACGAAACAAGGGTTGCATGTGAATTCTTAGTGGTTTTTCACGGGTAACACGGGCCCCCTCCGGGGCCCGGGCCTTGGTACCAGGGACCCAGTATCCCCCCCCCCCTTGTGGCGAGCCTGCATATGGATCTCTGAAATTTTCAGATTGAGCATTTGAACACTTAAGGTCTATAGCTGTCGAGGTTCGGATCACACATCTGAAACTTCAGTTCTTACATCTGAAGTACTTCGGTTTTCACATTCGAAAAACTTCGGTTTTCACATTCGAAAAACTTCGGTTCTACTTCAGATGTAAGAACTGAAGTACTACAGATGTAGGAACTGAAGTACTTTAGATGTAAGAACTGAAGTTTCAGATGTCAGACCTGAACTTTGGCAGGTAGACCTTAAGTGTTCAGATGCTTAATCCGAAAACTTTAGAGATCCATATGACCTAAACTTCGGGTCCCACGCACGAAGTTTTTTTCTCCGTGTAAGAAGCTCTTTTAGAAGGGGAAGAACTCTGGGGCCCGTGCAGGAACAAAGCGTTTTTTTCAGCGCACTATATCTCGGTAACTACGTGTCCGATTTTCGTTTTCTTGGTCTCATTTTGAAGTTAAAATGCTTCTACAGGAGTCTACTTCTTAAATTTTTTCGCGTAAGACACATATGAATGATCATTGGGAAAATTTCAAAATTTCAAGAGCGTTCAATTATTTAACACGCGTCCAGGGGTTTTTTTTTGTGTGTACCCCGCGGACAAATCAGCTTCTGGCCTTGTGAAGCCCCCTATGGCTTACATTGCAACCAAGAATTAATTAGACTACGTTTTTGAATAAGGGACCACTATTACCAGCTCCTTTTAGGAACAACATATATATCATTGGTTTCCCTATGCAAAAAGGTGTTCGCTATGGTAGAGCCAGAGATAGTAGTTCCTTAGTGCAAAATGTAATCCAACTAGGCCTTTGATATGAAAAAAAGGATAAGTTTTTTGATATTTCAACCAAAATTAGGGAGTACCTCCTGTCCGCCATGCGGTCTCACCGTGGGTTAATGTAAATAGAGTGAGCTCATTTAGCTAGGGGCTATATCCTACCGATGGACAAGAGCAATTTTCCAAACTATGAAAGAAGATGAAATATAAAAATATTAATAATTCATGCCCAGAATTCTTGAGGAAGTCAATAATAATAGTACTTTACAATACAAAATTAAACATGTTTATGGAGAACGATTATTTAAAAAGTAGACCTAGTTAAGACTAAATACACAATCAGGGTTGTTTAAACTATGAGTTAAAAATGATCTTGCTGACTCTTCGAGTCTTAACACCGATAGTGTCCGTCGATTCTTGAAATCTAGCAGCACTGATGGACCCCAGCCATTTAAAGTGATTCGATGGACGCCATATTTCGTGTCAGAACGGCATACGATATATCGCATCCATTGGTTCCATTTTTTCAGCTACTCGTCATTTTTCTCAAAATTTAAGATCGCAATTCTGTTGTCAGGTAGATTAAAGCACTCACTTACCAATTTCAACAAAGACATTCAACGTCATAAAGGCGTGGTTTTTTCAGAGAGAAAACATCGCATTCGATACTGATATCGAAACTATATTTTCTCTCTGAAAAAACCACGCGTTTATTATGTTGAATTTCTTTGTTGAAATTGGTAAACGAGTGCTCTAGTCTCCTGACAACAGAAAACAGAATTTCGATCTCAAAATTGGAAAAAATGATGGGTAGGTGAGAAAATGGAACCAATGGATGCGATATATCGCATGCCATTCGGACATAAAATCGTCACCTTCCAGGCAAAGTATCACAAGCGCCATGCGACGTTTAAAAATTTTCGCCGCCATTTTATTTTTTTACTGAGAAATTTTCGGTTGAATCTGTTCGAAAATTTCACTAAATTTTATCGGCAGCACAAAGAAAATTCGGTGTAATTTTCGGACAGCTTCGTTGAGAAATTTCTCTGTAAAAAAATATAATGGCGGCGGAAATTTTTAAACGTCGCATGGCGCTTGTGACACTTTGCCTGGAAGGTGACGAAATATGGCGTCCATCGAATCACCTCAATCTCGAGATAATTTTTAACCGTCTTATTTATGTGCCTACAACAGAGAGAGATCCTCCTCCGAACAGAGATGACTTCAAACAATTGCTGGCTAGAGCGCACGCTGCCAAATACGAGTACGAAAGGAGGAAGACAGCAAAAGATTACTTACAGGAGGAAATTGTATTCATGGAGAAGTACACCTTAGTAGAGAAGCCCACTTCGCCTCTAGAGGAGAAGGATGGTAAGTTTACCCCTTGAACAATCATTCTTTCAGGACCTTTTGAGTGTCTCGCGCAAGAAAGAGTTGTGGTTCCCTCAGGTATTAATATAAATGGGACTGTTGCTGGAAAATTTTGCTGGAGAAAAATTAAGAGTTTTTACTGATAGAAAGTGTCTCAAAAATCACGTTAAGCGCATCGGCAAATTCTGTAATGCACCCCTAACTTCACAATCTGCGTAAAAAATTTGCGTTTTTTCAAGCTGCCCGCTTTATAAACGATACTGCAGCATAGGTGAATATTTCGTTACAGGAGTCGTTCCATTCGTCCCTTTCTCGAAAGCATGTTTTCCAATATTCAACATGGCCGACGCCAATCCGCCGAAACACGTGTGGCGGGACGAGATTCTAACCACCTGCAGCTTGATTTTTGAAACGTTACCTGCGGGCCGATTATTGAAATTGATAGACAAAGCTATAGACAAAGAAGACATAAGAAGTATAGAGCGATCCTATAGGTTGAAATGGGTAGTTCTTATAGACTAAGGGAGAAAATGATGGACTAACTATCGGGTCTCTCGTGGGTTGCCGTTAGTTAGTCCATTACCTACGTCCTTTGTCCATTGCAATCACCCGCTTCCACTAATAGGATCCCTCCAAATCCCTTTTGTCGCCTTTGTCTATAGCTTTGTCTAAAAGTTTCAATAATCGGTCCGCTGGCTATGTCAGTAGGATAACCAAGACATAGGCCTACCTGTGCCGTGTAATGTATCGATTTTCGACTCTTGTCGTGCCAATATTAATTTGCCTTGGGAAATGGACCCAGCACATGTATACCTTGTTATTTATATTTTTGATTGAAATTTTCAGACGTTTTAAATCAAATTACGAGCAAAATGTTTTGAAAATTTGAGAGAAAAGAATTCAAAAGTTTTCCCGAAAATTCGTGATTTGTTGCAGAAAGTTTGGCAACGCTTAAAATCTTATACAGCGTTTTTCCTTAGCACGGCAGCATACGACCAGACTAGCTGGTCGGCCATGACGTCAAATAAAACGCCATTCCGCCATACACACTCTATCATTACGGACTCTATCCCCTTCAAAAATTCCTGGTGCTCTCTAGAAATTCATCTCTGTTCCTTTTAACGTTTTTTCAGCTGCCAAAAGTCAAGTCCATTCTGTAAAATGCTTTCCACTTCAGCGTTATGAATCCTCAATTTTGAGGAAAATTCACAGAAATTAAATTTTGAAAAACCCGGAAAAATTGTACGAGCTTTTCAATGTGTGCGTTTTTATGAAAGCTTATTCTGTGCTTTCTGACTCGTTCTTCCCGTACTTGCTGGAGGTTTCACACTGCCGTGATAAGGAAGAACGCCGTATGAGCATTCGAGAGTTGCCAAATTTCCTCTAGTAAAATTTTTATTTTTCGGGAGAGTTCTGAATATTTTCTCTGGAAACTTTCAGACTGATTGCACATAAAATTCCCTGAAAAAATAAAAAAAAGTATTGACAGATTTTCCTGAAAATTCATTCCAAATTAAAGAAAATATGGCAACATCTGAACGTTCATACGATGTTTTCCCTTAAAACGGCAGAACAGCAAGCCTCACCACCGCAGTCAATTAGAGAGGTCAAATATGAAATTTTTTACCATAAAACTGCAAATTTTGTTGTTTTTTTAATTCAAATTTTAAATTTGAAGGGCTGCTTTCAGAGGGAAATATCACTAGGACACCAAAGGAACCACTTTTAAAACGTCAAAGTTTTGTATAAGCGGGGTTACAAGCGTTTAAAGTTTCTAAATTTTGTCCCACCTCTCTCATTGACTCGATTCACTGTGCGCCGGCCACTGCAGAAACTTGCTGTAAAAAATCCTGTGATTCATACGATTCTAGTTCTGGAACATGACGAACTTTCTGGGCCTTAATTGGGAGATGGAATATTAGCGGTCCTTGCGTTTAAATATAGGCACAATGCTGCCGTGGTAAGGAAAAACGCCGTATGAACCTTCAGGCGTTGCCAAATTTCCTTTAATAAAACGCGAATTTCCTGGTAAACTTTTGAAAATTTTCCTCCCAATTTTTCACGTACCTAATTTTGTTCGCAATTTCACGTAAAGATTCTGAAAATTTAAAGGAAAAATATTCATAACTTTCCTCAATATAAAACATTTTATCGAAGGAAATTTGGGAACTCTCAAATGTTCTTCCTTAGCACGGCAGAGCGACTTATCTGAATCTTTTCCTGAGCGACCTCGGCACTGTTCAATAAGAAAACCATTAAAAATTTTTACGGGGGAAATTATAATAAAAAAATTTTGAAAAATGAATTAAAAAGGAATTGTCTAGTTTGATTAGATTCTAATTGCAAAACGGTGAGAATCAAAATTATGAGTTAAAAATATGTAAAACTGTTTGGGCGTTCAAAGGTTAACTTTCCATGTGATCATTCAATAAGATTGGGAATAGTGCCATGAAATCTAAATCAATTTAAAATCAATTCATGAAATAAAATCGTACGCAGCAATTTTTACTTTGCTACTCCCTAATTTTAGCCCCGTGGACAAGATTCAGACTTCGTATTCTGAGGATTGCTGTATCAGAGAACTCAATTGGGCTCACCTTTCGCGACGTGTAACTTAACGAGAGAAAAAAAAAACCAAATGCCTGATTCGATTATTCGCCTTGAATTGATGAAAAAAACATTGAGAGAGAAGTTTCGCAACAAGTCAGGGACATTCTATGTACTGAGATTAAAGAGAATATCATGACTCGTCGTATTGATGGGGGACATTTTTTTATTTCCCATCAAGAGCTTTTTTCGATTTAGCGCTTGAAAATATATACAACGCACAAGGAAATTCTGCAGCAATTTTTTTTTTGGCACAAATGAGAGAGCTGAATGAACGGCAAATATTCTCTACCACACGTGCACTTGGGGAAATTTCTGCCGTGCTAAGGAAAAACGCCCTATGAGCCCTCAGGCGTTGCCAAATTTCTCCTGGCAAATCACTAATTTTCAGGAATTTTTTTTTAATTCTTTCAACCGATTTCTCAGAAAATTTTGTTTGTAAGTTGATCTAAAACTTCTAAAAATTTCAAGGAAAAATATTCATAATTTTCCTCAAAAGTAAACATTTTATCGAAGGAAATTTGGCAACTCTCGAGTGTTTATACGGCGTTCTTCCTTAGCACGGCAGATTTCAGATTGAACGTTAAAGTAGCTCAACGTTTCGCGCAACCTACGTTGATTGACGGTCTACGTGCGACGTCAAACATGGCTATATGCGCGTGTTTTCTCTTTCTGAGGACATTTGTTTTAAAAAAATATGGACGGTGAAAACACACATAACTCGGCAACGCTGCAAACAACTGCTTTTATGATTTATTTTCAGAATGAAAAAAATACTCAGCGTTAAATCTTGAAAGCACACCCGATTTCCCCTCTCTTCGTGAAGAGTATCCTGTCAAAACGTAAAGCAATATTGTTGGTTCGTCCTCATTCAGTAAATTATATTAGTGTTGAGGAGCTCAGAACATCTCAAACGAAATTCTCCTTTTTGTAGTCGCACCGTCGATTTACGCGTGCCACTGGTGGATTCTACCTGTGCCCGAGGCAAGCTTAAAAGCTTTTACCTCTCTCTCTCCCTGGCGAAAAACCACTCTGACCTGATTCCAGGGCAGAGATAAATAGTAACCCCCCCCCCCCCAAAAAAAAAAAAAAAAAAGATAAAAAAAATCTATTTGAAATACCACTATAGAGCTTCTTTGAAAGTTATATTGCAAAGTTAAAATAGATAGACATTTTATAAAATTATGACGCATGGCATTTCGTTTGCGTTTAACTGGGCCGAATTCCATGTTTTTTTGCGGTTATCGACAGGTGATAGTCCCTAGATAAGCCCGCTGTAATCACAATTTGAAAATAGGACCCGGTTTGTATATATTAGAGGAGACCAGAAAGCTTAGGAAGCAGGGGGTAAACATGAACTAAGCGGGAAATGTTGAATCTTGGTCTGTTACGAGGGTAAGTGAATCTATAACACTTTTGCTACAGACCATCCAAAGGCGACGGAACGCTCCGTTCCGTTTTGTTTCAATCTTGGCGTGAAGTTTGAAATAAATGCCGATTTTTTCATTCGATTCTCATTGGTCCAATTGCTCCCGGCCACAGAGAGATTGGACAAATGGACGTACTTCTATCAAACGAAACTAAGCGCCATAGGGAGAGGAAGGGAGAGGGGGGCTTGGATTGGCGGGTGTTGCGGAACGCGATGCACGTTCTGTCCTTTACTCGCAATGCTTTTCCATGGCGCTTAGTTCCGTTTGATAGAACGCGCTATACGGGATTCTAAAATTCTCAAAAGGAACTCAATTTGGCGCTTAGTTCCGTTTAACAGAAATACGTCCAAATGAGAGTTGGGTTAAAATGTGTTTTCATTCTTTTTGGTCGTTCTTTTGTCGAAGCGGGCCTAAAAGATCAAGAGGCGGCCAGGGGGCATAGCCAGTATTCCTAAATCTCCGGTTTTTTCGAAAAATCTCAGTCAACATTTTTTCTTCAGAATCTCCGGCATTCTATCATACATATCGATGGTGAAACTACCAAACCACGTATCTCGTTTGCGGAGTTTAAAAATCTACGCTCATACATTTTATTTTTTTGAAGTAGACCAAATCAATATTATTCCTTGAAATTTTCACGGAATTTTCTCCGCACAAAGAGAAAAAATCACAGAAATTTTCAAGACTAGATGTAAAGTAGTTTTTCAATTAAAAAATAAAGTATGACAGGAAGTCTGCGACGTCGCAAACCGAGATACGTGGTTTGGTAGTTTCACCGTCGATATCCGGCATATTCAAGAAGTTTCCGGCTTTTCTTTCAATCGGAGCTAGAAATTTAACCAGCAACACTGTTAGAGAAAAAAATTAGGTGCTTACATTTCGCAGATTGTTTACCCTGTGACGTAGGTCGGTACAACGTCGCGGCGTCGATATTCCAGCAAAATCCGGAATTCGTAATATTAAAAATGGATTTGTTCGCTTAAATCAACTCATGAAATAATTTCAAACGCTTTATATGGAATGACTTTTTTCTATAAATTACACCATTTCCAAGAAAGTCGATGATAAAAATCGTCCGTACCGACCCACCCCTACGTCATAAAAAAAAATCAAAGATGTCCGAAATACAAATACCTCATTTTCCCCTGGTCGATACTCGATACCAGCATTTGATCCGTTACAGTATCAATAGGTTTTTACGATTAGAAGCGATCAAGTCAGCAAAGACATTTATTGTCATGGGAACGGAGTTCCCCATGATATTACAATTGTTCCGTTGCTTTCGCTATGGGATTCCCTAAACCTCTGCGACCTTGAGCGTTTCGCCCAGTCTCCGATTTTTGGTTGATTTTCCGATGTATCAAAAACCGTTGTATTTTTTAGCCAATCATGTCTCTACGTCAAGTTGTGTTGATTTCTAAAATTCGCTTTCAGCGAGTTTTTTTCCACCTTGAGATGTCGTGTCTGACTGGTAAATCTGCGCAGAACCACGAAGTTCCGTTTTTAGGCAAATTCTTTTTTTTGGGAGGTTCTGATTGGTTATTTTTCGCCATCAGTTTTCTGTTCGTTGGTGCAAAAGATCGCCTACCTCGGTGCTCTTGAGAAGCCGCCATTATCCCACCTCAAATTTTAAACATAGATATAAAGAAATAATAACCATCGTACAAGGTGGAAAATTGCTCTGGAGGACCCGTTACGGATATATGAGCCAAAATCAGAACTCGATTGATGGATTTAATCCATGAATACAGAAATATTGCCTCAGTTTACTGTCGCGATAGCAAATGCATGCTCAGATGAACCTTGTGACACATGAAAGCATAGGCAAACAATGTCTCACAGAGAAATGCGCTTAATCCGCTGTCTCTTAACAGCAGTGGCCGGATGTCAAGGTCGTCTTTTGTGAAGCCCCGCTCAGCGTCCGAGATCACTTAACTGTTATCTTTCCTCCAACCATGAGCATGCGGCGAGATAGCTCGGTTGTTTGAGACGCCAAGCCAGCGCTTCACTCATATCCTTCTTGTTGCGAGCGGGGGTTCGAATCTCGTAGACGACAATTAATTTTTACTGGTTGTATTGAATGTTTTAGACCAATCATCTAACAATAATTAATACTTGGCAACTTAGGAAGCACATAGGTCCCTTATGATGCGTATTCGGGCATATGTGTAGAGTAAAAATATCATACGTAGGGTGTCCCAAAAGTACCGAGACTGGTTCTGTAACTTCAAAAGTAAGATAGATACAGACATGATTTTGGTCTCATTTTGAAGATCAACTCAATACCTATCGATTAAAACCAAGATCAGCTCAATCGAATAAAAATTGACCGAGTTATGACAATTTGAAATTAGTGAGGAAAGTTTACCCCTACGGTTTTTAGGAAGATTTTTCGCTTACCAGGATTCAAAAAGTTAGTATTCGTATCCACTTTCCTCCGAATCTTCCATAACTTCCTTTTGCTTTTCAAAGTACCGTCCATCAAACCGGATGCACTTTTTCATGCGCTCTTGCCACTTATCCAACATTGTTTTCCTGAATTCTTCCTCTGGGATGGCGTTGAAGAAGTTTTGAATTGCATTCTGGATTTTTGTCTTCGATACGAATCTTCGTCCGCGAAGCTCCTTTTTAAGCGTAGGAAACATCCAAAAATCACATGGAGCCAAGTCAGGGCTATAAGGGGGATGAGGGATTGTTTCAACTCCATTTTTACTCATAAATTCACGTGTTAAGCTCGATGTGTGAGGCCGCGCATTGTCTTGATGGAGTATCCACGAAGCTTCCAAGTCCGACCGTTTCCGGGAAATGTGCATTCTCAACTCCTTTAGTACTTTGCAATAATACGCACTGTCAACTGTTGTGTTTGATGGTACAAAATGTTGATAAATGACACCTCAAAAATAAAAAAACACAATAAGCATCACTTTATCGGCCGACTTTTCGATTTACGGCGATGAAGAATCTTCCTTAAAAACCGTAGGCGTAAACTTTCCTAGCTGATTTCAAATTGCCATAACTCGGTCAATTCTTATCCGATTGAGCTGATCTTGGTTTTAATCGATAGGTATTGAGTTGATCTTTAAAATGAAGTCAAGGGCATGTCTGTATCTATCTTACTTTCGAAGTTACAGAACAAGTCCCGCGGTGCTTTTGGGACACCTTATGTATACTTTACGCCGAAAAAGCGAACCTGAAACTTAAATGCGTTAACTTCCGAAAACCATATATGATCCAACGAAAATAAATAATTGGTACATAACAGCTTTCTTGTATGCAAAGAAAATAATTAAAAATGTTAAAAAAGAGATGTCAACACAAAATTACATAGCCCCTTCAATTTAGAAGATACTACAAACGAACTGTACCTTAACATATTCATATCCCAGAAGCTAACGTTCCCATGACGAATATTGCTATCGGTAGCGATTGCAAAATCCAACTTGTTTTCACTTGTATTTCTTAGAGAAGGGTGTTTTTTGAGAATCTTTACTTGAAAATCTCCGGTATTTTCAAAAAGATTCCGGCATTTCGGTAAAAAAACTCCGGTTTTTTTTTTCAAAAAGTCTCTGACATTTCATCTGGGAACACTGGGCATAGCCCCTTAGAGCCGCTAACACACGTACGCTCCGAATGTACATTCTGGCCTACTGCGCATGCGCAGGCATCGAGAATGTACATTCATCATTCTCTTGAAAAAGAATGTACAGTTTGACGAGAAGAAGAAGAAACCCGCGACGATCTTTTACTCATTCCTTTAACTTATAGTTGTTCAAGAGAACAAAATGAGGAACATTCTCGATGCCCGCGCATGCGCAGTAGGCCAGATTGTACATTCGGTGTGTACGTGTGTTAGCGGCTTAGTTCAGCATAAATACGTCCATTTCATAGCCTGATTTTCTCCGTCTGTTTAATATCAGTCGTTTCCCTCTCATTGCAGATAAGATGGCCTCCTGGCCGAACCTAATATGCATCCAAAAATGCTCCTCCACTTGGGGTTACCTCTTCGTTCCGAGCAGGGACGGGACTCCTCTCACCTCCCTCGATTTCTTCGCCTGCGGGCAGCTCCACGCCATCACCTACGGCCAGGTCAGCGATTCCCCGAAGGGCAAACCCAAGGCCCAGCCGGACGGCAGCTGGAGGTTCGACTGCGATTGCGTGACCAACGAGGATTTCCTCCAATACTTGAAAGAAATCCAAATCAGACATGATTGGTTCACTTGGTACAAGAGTAACGACCCGCAGAAAGCCATGCCGTGGCTCCAGGCCGAGATCAAGGAGAAGAAATTGGAGGTCGGGCTCATGACCCAGAGCCGCTTCATAGAGTGGATCAAGCGGCTCCTGTTGAAATACAAGGTCAAGACCAAGGAGCAGCTCTACAGGGAGTACCGCGAGAACCCCGACGCCCCGGGCGTCGCCGGCGAGAAGTACTCGGACGCGGATTCGGACTACTGGGAGGATAATTTGACCTGGATACCGGAAGAATCGCTGTATGCTGAGGACTATAAGATGGCGGAGGGCGAGATACGATGATGTCTGGACCTGCAGACTGATCGTTGAAATTGACGGACAAAACTTCAGGCAAAAAAGACATGAAGGATATGGAGGGATTCAATGGAGATGTTGCATGTGTGAGGAATTTGCAATTTGACTGTTGATTCTTATGTAAAAGTTCGCGAGAAATACTATGGTGCCACTGGTTTTCTCTGAAATCAACTCCCAAGCTCAAAAAAAGCTCTCAAGTTGAGGCCAAAATGGAGGGGACATCCCACGCTATCCTGAGAGTCCACCTCTACATCAAAACAAACTCTTCATTCAAAGATAGGGAGCAAATTCATTAGCAAGGTTGCCAAGTTTTCAGTTTTAGAGTCCCTAAATAAGGTGGCAGCCCTGTCAATGGATTTGCTCCTTATCTTTGCATAGAGAGTTTGTCTTGATGTAGAGGTGGACTCTCAGGATAGCGTGAGATATCCCCTCCATTTTGGCCTCAACTTGAGAGCTTTTTTTGAGCTTGGGAGTTGATTTCAGAGAAAATCAGTGGCACCATCGTGTTTCTCGCGAACTTTTACATAAGAATCAACAGTCAAATCGCAAATTCCTCCCACATGCAACGTCTCCATTTTGTCTGAAAATGGACTCAAAACGAGATATTCGTGAAAAACCGAGAATTCTCCATTGTTTTCTGCAGTCTCTTCGACCGCTTGGGACACATACGTCATACGCTCTCTTCCCTTTCCCGCCCGCCCATCATGGGGCTCCGAGAAACACGTCTCGCTTCGCCCGTGCAAAACCAAGCCGGACGCACGGTCTACGTGATTTAATGTCTCGGGCCCAGAATGTCCGACCGGAAAATTTTATTGGAAGAATCCTTCGTTCTTTGTCAAATTGCCACAAACCGTCCAAAAGACTCTTTGAAATCGTTTGGATGATTAAAAATTGACTAATTTTATTTCAATTACATTAAAAGGGGTATTTTTCATTTTCACACTAGGGTATTGTTAGGTAAGACAGCCGTAAGTGCTCTCTTCTGCATGCTTACATGGTTGCGTTTTGGACATTGTCGCATTGTCTTCACTCTCAGTATAAAGGGACTCAGATCCAATCTGTATTGGATCTGATGAAATTGCTGAAATCGGTGCCATCAGTGAGGCGATAGACCCATTTATCATTACGGACCAATCACAGCACTTCCCACCCGAGTCATCAACTTGTCTTTTCTAGTCATTGTAGCACAAAGCAGGCTTTGTGTGTTTATTCTGTACTCTGCAATCTTTTCTCGAAATTGATTTACTATGAGTCTCTTTGCATATTATTGTTATTTTTACACCATTTGCTCATGGTTACTGTATGGACCATAGTATTCACTCGTAATTGTTGTGCATTTACATTGTTATTGATTGTTGTACATACTTACGATTTGGGTTATCGAAATGTTGTAATACAATTTTAATTATCGTTTCAACTTGTGTTTCCATTTCAACGACGCCATAATATACCAGGGCCGGATTTAGGAGATGGCCACATGGGCAGCGACCCATGGCGGCAAATTTTGCAATTTTCTTAGATGTAGGTATAAAAAAATTGGATTGAGGAAAAAAATTTCAAACGAGAAAAGGCGACCAAATCTCTCATTTCCTGAGAGTATAGTAATTTCTAATTTTATCGTCTTTCGGTGACACAAGAGAGAGCACCTTTAATTAGTCGAGTTAAGGGAGATGGCCCGGAGCGGCGCGACGCAGAGAGCAATGATGACGAGGACTTGAGATGAAAAGGAGAAGCCCTCGGCGCGGCGGTCGGCATGCAACACATCAGCGCCTACAAGACTGCATGAATACTTCACGCATTGCGTCGTCAAACACATTGCGTTCAGCATCAGTCGGCTCGCGCTCGAACCCATAGCGCCTACAAGACTGCATGAATACTTCACGCATTGCGCCGAACAGTGCGGTCAGCGCGGCAGCGCGGCGGCGGAAGTTAAAATTATCAAACCATATTTCTGTTTGTTCTTTCATAATTCTGTATAAATGGAGGGCCTTGTCTACACTAAGATAGGATTACGGAACTTAAATTTCGTGCAAAGTTCCGTGAAATTTAGCTAGTAGTGTCGACAGGGCTTTCGCAAAACATGTGTCCAATACGAGTAAACGCGTCTTATGCAACCCCTCCAGTACATTCACTTTATGTTTTTGTTAATGTTTCAAACCGAATGAGAAGGGGGCGGCAAAATACAGGCGGCCCATGGGCGGCAAGTAGGTAAATCCAGCCCTGTTATACATATGTATTCACGAAGATAAAGTACCTTTAATACCTTTATATGGAAAGTATGGTCACTGCGGTTACCACCTCTGATTGGCTCAGACATCTTAGGCTGAGTGAAGCCTTCTAGGGCCCAAAAATGGCGGGCGCTGTCGGCAAATGTAATACAAAATGACTCGAAACGTAGTCTTATTTACATATCGCAAGGAGAATTTTACTCAAATGCATTATTACGATGTATTTATACATAGTTTGACGACTATTCGCGTGCTATTTCCGAGAAAAATCATATTGGATGTAGTAAGGTTGGCAGCAAGTGCGGTTGGTGATAATCGAAAGATAACCGTCAGAAGTTGGCAATGACCCCTCCCCCATCCTATCCTCAAAGAACAAAACAAAGCGCCGCCATTTTTGGGCCCTAAGCCTTCCACGGGACCCGGTGTCCATACTCTCCCTATACAGGTGCTCTACATGAAGATAAAAGTATTTATAAAACTTCACACGAGAATAATTAAATGCAAACAAAATTGCTAAAAAAACCTTTCATCAGAATAGCCTTTGCTTTCTATGCACTGGAAAAAAAAACAAGCAGTGAACTCCAACACAATGTGTTGATAAGGCGCGTCATTAACTCGCACATATCAACCCCTTTAGTTTTCATTTACAGAGATTTCAAAATAGGCAAACAGCATAAAAAGAGAATTCACGATCCAACACTGCGAGGTCAAAGACGCACCTTGACGAGACCGTGTATTGTGAAAGTAGAAAGCTATTCGATCGAATTTAAGTTTTTTGATCTGCCTCAAGCAAAATCTTATCAGATTCTTGAAGAAAAGTGCTACGGAATAATTTAAGCGAAGAAAGGAAAAATTCTGTCGAACTCCTAGAAGATAAAGTCGATTTAAAGGTATTTTGGGGCTAAAATACCCAAATCACCGGTAGTAAAAATCCCGTTATATTATTGAAAAGAAATTGACTCGATATAAATGCAATTGCATTAAATACGTCTTGATTTTGTTATTTTAAACGTCTTTCCATGCAAAGAAGTTCAACCATGTCGTTGCTTTATTCATTCATGAATTGAAAGTAAGCAATCTACATCCCGAAAATCTACTGATTTGCCGTAAAAAATTGCAGAAACTTGATATACCAGGTCGATGCACCCACTCGTTGAATTTACCAACCAATTTTGTGAGTGCA